TAAATACGTACATCTGAGGTTGTTCAAGTCCATCTGGATAACAAACAGTGATTTATAAATACGTACATCTGAGGTTGTTCAAGTCCATCTGGATAACAAACAGTGATTTATAAAGAATTACAGGATAGCAACAAAAGATGTGCTAATCAATAGCTGAAAAGGGATTTTTTAATTCTCCCCAAATCTTTTTCCTTTGGAGTGGCCAGAATGTAAGGAAGACAATTCCTGAAGATTAACAGACAATTCTCCCTGAATAAACAAGGTGGTTTCTATAGTTACTTCACTGAAACTAGTACGTTTAAGAATCATAAGCCTAGAGAAACTGCTGTGTCAGTAGAGTCTGGCCAGGAGATATATCAGATTACATAAAAGAGAAGTTACTGGTTTTTTTAATGGTGGCTATAATGAGTGGTTTTAATTGTCAGCGTTATACAGTCTGGAATCATGTAGGAAGACAGTCTCTATGAGGGACTACCTAGATCAGCCTTTGGGCTTGTCTAGGGGAGATTCTCTTGATTATTTTAATTGACGTAGGAAAAGCCACCTATCGCAGTCAGCTAATCAATCTACTGGCTCCCTTAAGTGTTTTTTAAACATGAGCTCATAGCAGCAAAAGAGATCACATCATTATGTGAAGCTTTGCTTTGGACATCAATCATTTTGTTTTTATTCTCCTCTCATACATCCAGACCACAGTTTCTGCTTTCTCCTCTCCTCTCAGTTCCTCATCACCATCTTTACCTCCCCTTCTCCCAGATCCTCCACTTCATTTCCCTCCAGAAAAGAGAAGTCCACCCAGGGATAGCAACCAAACATGGCATAACAAGTTACAATAAGACTAAGTAGAAACCCTCATACCAAGGCTGGACAAAGTAAGTAGGAAAAGGGTCCCAAGAGCAGCCAAAGGAGTCATAGACACCCCTATTCCCACTGTTGGGAGTCCTAAAAGAACATCCAGTTAATAAAAACATGTATACAGAGGACCTAGTTCAGACCCATAAAACATTAATTTTTTAATTTATTCTTTGGTACTTTCATACATGCATGTGATATAGTTTGATCATATGTTTACTTCTTGGTATCCTCTCTTGTACACACCTATACCACTGAACTATTTCTTCTTTCTTCCTTGGCCCTGCCTACCTCCTTATCTGTTTTGTGACCCACCAAGCTTAATTAGGGTTACTTGCATACACATGAGTGTGGAGGTTATTTACTGGAGCATGGAAAACTGACCCACAGTTATGCCACTGAAAATGATGCCACCGCCTCCAGTAGCTTCTAGCTGTTAATGGATCCTTAGGGAGGGCTTAGGTATCTTGAAGCCATCTCCCATCCATGCTGGATTGTATGAGTCTTGTGCTAGTAATCGCATCCACTGTGAGTTCATGAGTACAAGGGCTACGCCATGGGCAAAAGACAATGATTTACAGTGCTTCATCCCTTCCAGCTCTTATACTCCCTCCACCTCCTCTTCTAGGTCCCTTGAACCTTGGATATGATATACAGAGATGTCCTATTGGAGGCTCTAAGACCCTGGGTTAACTGTCACCCATATTGAGAAGTTTCTCTTACCAAGTGTCTTAGGGTTTTAGTGCTTGACTAGATAGTCCACTATTGTCATGGTGGGAAACATCCATGCAGACAGACATGGTGCTAGAGAAGGAACTGAGAGTTCTACATCTTGATCCACAGGCAGCAGAAGGAGACTGTGTGCCACACAGGGAGTAGTCTGAGCAGAGGAGACCTCAGAGCCCACCCTTAATTTTCTCCAACAAGGCCACACCTACTTTAATAAGGCCACAGCCCCTGATATTGCCACTCTCTATGGGTCAAGCATTTGCACACATGAATTTATCTAGGCCATTCCTATTCAAATCACCAAACCTCAGTTGAAACCAGCATTTCTCTAGAATTTTGGTGTCTGATGTAAACCCTATGAATGTAATTTTTGTGTAAGCACATGTAAGATTGAAAATAGATCTTATATTCATCTTAATGTCTCTAAAAATTAAACACAAACCAGATTACAAAACCTTCTAGAACATATGAAAATATTTCTGTAAAATGTCAATAAAGCATGATAATAAGATGTCTTAATGTTCCAGAAGAATGCATTTAAAACTATTAGGTATATTACTTTAGCTCAACCTGGAAGACAACTATAAAACCAGATCTCAGTCCCAGAGATGTGTGGGGCATTAAAATGCTGATTCATGAGTCATACTTAATCATCTCACAACGCACTGGGGTGTGGAGACAGACCTGTCTTGGAAGGCCTTAGGAATTTCATGAGTGCAGTGGGCACCTACAATGTTTGCATGGGTCATAAGCCTCCTGAATTCTCACTTTTGGAAAGGGTGACTTCACTTCCTGCTTCATTCCAGCAGTCCACCTGACTGCAGCCAGAATTTATCCACTACAGATTCCAACTCCATCTGAAGCTCCTCTGACTACATGTCCTGGTGAGAACTGGCAGACAATGACTCTACCATGTCACATGACATTCCATGACAAGAGGTCATGGAATACTGCAATTTGGGGGAAATGCAAGAGGTGATTCATAGGGAATACCAGAAAACATGAGAAAAGTGAAGTCATTACTACCTACATATTGGAAGTTTTTGCTAGAAAACTACAACCTATTAAGTTGCTTTTTGTATCATATAAACAAAAACAAGGAAATGATATTTTCATAATTACAGAAACAACTTAGCTGAGTATAAAAGAGGACCTGCAGCAAGGAGACTCCAAACCATAAAACTCACTCATTTGTAAACCCACCCAGAACCTCCACCTCTAACACCATGGTCAGCTCCTGTTGTGGCTCTGTCTGCTCTGAGGAAGGCTGTGGCCAAGGCTGTTGCCAGCCCAGCTGCTGCCAGACCACCTGCTGCAGAACCACCTGCTGCCGCCCCAGCTGCTGTGTGTCCAGCTGCTGCAGACCCCAGTGCTGCCAGCCCATCTGCTGCCGCCCCAGCTGCTGCCGCCCAAGCTGCTGTGTGTCCAGCTGCTGCAGACCTAGCTGCTGCCAGTCTGTGTGCTGCCAGCCCACCTGCTGCCGCCCCATCTGCTGTCGGCCCAGCTGCTGCAGACCCCAGTGCTGCCAGCCCTCCTGCTGCCGCCCCAGCTGCTGCATCTCCAGCTGCTGTCAACCCTGTTGTGGTGGGTCCAGCTGCTGTGGCTCCAGCTGTTGTCGTCCCTGCTGCCGCCCCTGCTGCCGCCCCTTTTGCTGTCTGAGACCAGTCTGTGGTCAGGTCGGCTGCCAAACCACTTGCTACCGCCCCACCTGTGTCATCTCCACCTGCCCCCGCCCCATGTGCTGTGCTACCCCCTGCTGTTGAGAACTTTCTTGAACACATCCATGTTTTCCCACCTCCTTTATTATGAAAATAGACCTGTGTACCTCATAATTATGTTGAAAGAGGCCTTTCCTGTCAATTGTGTGTCCATACCTTATACTCAGGAAAACTGCCTCTGATGACTTCTATGTCATTTCAGACTAAAACATGGACTTGAAGGTTAAGAAATTAATGCAGAAGGAGATGGGAGTGCATCCTGAAGGGATTATCGGGAGGAGTGGAAATGTTGTGATCAAAATACATTGTATGCATGTACAAAACTCTTAAATAATTAATACAAAACATTGTATTTTGAAAAAAATTAGTAAGAGTGCAGATCTTCTCAGCCTAAATGTGAAAATACATCCAGCACCTGTAGAGGCCAAACCTTAAGAGCTGAAAGTCTCAGGGTGTTTGCTATCTTATTTCACCTTTAACTGTGACATTTCTGTATTTTCCTGCTATTTCTAAATAAAATTCATTTAATTGGAATAGAAATACAATTTTTTGCATCTTTTGCTTTATAACTATTGACTTTGACTAATGAAAACTATACACCAAGCACAACTACACCAAACTTTCCTGATCCTGCTGTCACAACTTCAGAAAATTTCTAGCACAGTGAGTTAAAAATTTGCAAAAAGAAAGTAAGCAGTCAGTCACAGTGAGTTCATGACACCATGAACCTGTCATGTCATGTTCAGAAGACACTAACTTTTAGTCTTTCTACTCTCTTTTTTTTGTGATGCTTCCTTAGCAGTGTGTGCATGTGTATGGATGTGCATGTGTGTTTATGTGTGTGTGTGTATGTGCACGTATATGTGTGTGTACCTCCACACACACTTGTGTGATAAAATGCCCTGAGTTCTCTGCAATTTCATATTCTCTACTTTCATATTTTTGAGTCTGCATTAACTGCCTAGTCAGCTGCAAAGAAAAGCTTCTCTGATGAGGCCTGAGAGGTGTCTACTTGCTTCAGAGGCACAGGCACTGATAAGCTGCCCATGTCTAAGAAATCACCTCCTAGCCATGCTCATGCAGGTAGCCCTGCTTACACTCAGTCAGTCACACCCACCCAACGACACAGGCATGAAAGAAGGAAGGGTGCTGGCTAGTCAAGAGGGAACTCTAGGTCTGGGAGGAGAAGAGACTGGGTAACAGAATAAGAAAAACTAAAACACGTGGAAATGAAACTATCAAAGAATAAAAAATTAAACAAAAATAACCAACAAAGAGAATGTGTACCTATTATTAAAACTACAGCCAGTATTGGTTTTATTTGCATTTCTCTGATGACTACAGATGTTTAACATTTCTCTAAATGCTTCTCAAACATTAGAGATTCCTTTGTTGAGAATTCTTTATTTAGAAATGTACTCCATTTTTTATTTGGGTTATTTGGCTTGTTGATGTTTAGTTTCTTGAGTTCTTTATATACTTTGGATGTCAGCTCTCTGTCAGATGTGGAGTTGGTGATCTATTTCCATTCTGTAGGCTGTCATTGTGTTTTTGTCTTACAGAAGCTTTTCAGTTTTATAAGGACCCATTTATTAACTATTGATCTCAGTGCCCAAGCTATTGGTGTTTCGTTCAGGAAGTTATCTCCTTGCCAATGTGTTCAAGGCTATTCCTCACTTATTCTTCTATCAGATTTAGTGTATCTGGTTTTATGTTAAGGTCTTTGATCCACTTGGACTTGAGTTTTTTACAGGGTGTTAGATATGGTTCTATTTGCATTCTTCTATGTGTAGATATCCAGTAAGACCAGCAAAATTTGTTGAAGAAGCTTCTTTTTTTCTGTTGTATAGGTTTGTCTTTGTCAAAAATCAAGTGTGAATAGGTGTGTGGATTTACTTCTGGTTCTTTGATTCAATTTCATTGATCAACCTGTCTGTTTATCTGCCAGTATCATGCGGATTTTATTAGCAGGAATGATGATACCTCGAGAAGTTCTTTTATCGTACAGGATTGCTTTAGCTCTTCTGAGTTTTTTATTTTTCTATATAAAGTTGAATATTGTTCTTTCAAGGTCTGTAAATAATTGTATTAGAATTTCAATGGGAATTGAGTTGAATCTGTAGATTGATTTTGGCAGGACAGCCATTTTACTATGTCAATCCTACTGATCCATGAGCATGGGAGATCCTTTTGCGTTGATATCTTCTTCAAATTCTGAATCTATGAAGGTGACTAAGACTCCTAGCAATGGGAGATATGGAGCCTGAACTGGCCATCTCTTGTAACCAAGCAAGATGTTCAATGGAGGGGTTGGGACACCAACCCAGCCATGAAATCTTAGAGTCACAATTTGTCCTACCTACAAGATGTGCAGGGGTAAAAGATGGAGCAAAAGCTGAGGGAAGGGTCATCCAATGTCTCAGCTTGAGACCTATGTCATAAGATGAAGCCCACCCCTGAAATATTAATAATATTCTACTGTGTTTGCAAACAGGTGCCTCATATAACTGTCATCAAGGAGGCTTCACCCAGCATCTGATAGAAACTGATGCGGAGACCAACAGCCAAATATTAAGTGGTGCTTGGGGAATCCTATGGATGAAGAGGAGGATGGATTGATGGCCCCAGAGGGACCAAGACACCACAAAAAAACCTACAAAATCAACTAACCTGAGCCCATAACAACTCATAGATACTAAACTGCCAATCAGAGAGTATGCTTGGGATGGACTTAGGCCCTCTGCACATACATAACAGTTATGCAATCTGAGTCTTCTTGTGAGTCTCCTAAAGTGAGAGCAGGGTCTGTCTTTGACTATGTTGCTTGTATTTGGATACCATGCTCCTAACAGGGCCACCTTGCCTAGTCTCAACTGAATAGATTCAAGATGCACCTAATCTGGTTAATATCCATGGGAGGCTTCCCCTTTCCTGAGGATAAGGGAAGGTGGGGTGGGTGTGGGGCAGAGGAGATAAAGAAAGGGACTGGTAGGAGAGAAGGGCAAGGGAAGCTGAGATCATAATATAAAGTAAAAATATAACTTAACAATTAAAAAAAACTTACAATCAGCTTTTCAGAATAGTCCACTAAAATGCTTTCAAGTCTGTTGTCACTTTGAGTATCAAAAATACCTACATGAACTTCAAAATGAGTAAACCACACACACACACAAAACCAACAACAAAAACCCATACACAGATGGAAGGAAAACCTTTTAAAATGCCAGTGCATGGATGTTTCTATAAGCATGAAAAAGTGTGAAGGTTAATTTTCGGGTATGAAGAAACAGAGTTATATATAGACTGAAACTTTCTAAAAGTTTATCTTTGCTATTTCTTCCACTCAGCTTCTGACTATCATTTTCATCCATTTATAGGAAAATTATTTTCTATGGAGGACAAACTCATCATTCTGAGATGTTTCCAGAAAATATAAAATGGAGAACACTCATGGAATAAGTACAGTGGGATCCTTCAGAGCCCTCTACACTCCACCCTTAGCTTGCTCCTTCAAAGGTTTTTCCGTCTCCCACTCCTTTCTCCTCATGGCCTATTTCCTTACTAAAAAGAGGTATCCTTTCGATAATTAACATAAATTTAGCCTTCTACCCCAACAACAGCTCCAAACACACCCCCACATCCTTCCTTTTCCTTTCTGAAGCCCCTATTTGTACACTCTGACTATCCAAAATCACAAAACCACCTCTCTTTCCCCTTATGAACATCATAAAACCCTTCCTAATATACTCAAAGACCCTTTTTCCTACATCTCCACACCTAATACTCTCTAACCCAAATCAACTTCAGAGGCCTCAAACCCATCATTCAGTCCTTTTTATCCAAGTGGTTTCTATACCCCACCTCTTCATCCTACAATACTCCCATATTGACAGTCAAAAATCCTAATAAAACCTTCTACCTAATCAAAGACCTTTATTCCACTAATACTGCCACTGTCCCACTCCACCCTGTGGTCTCCAACCTTTATACTATCCTATCTGATATCGTCAGTAACATTATTACTTTTCAGTCCTAGATATTAAAGATATTTTTTTCTCATTATCCCTAGATATTCATTCTCAACACCTTTTTGCCTTCACTTGGACAACCCCAATACTCAACAATCCTGACAACTGACCTGGACTGTCCTTCCCTGGGGATTCAAAGATACCCCCCACCTTTTCAGCCAGGCACTCACTATGGAGCTGGCCTGGCTTCCTCCTTTTCCCGTCAACCTGTTTCAGCATGTGGATGACCTCCTCCTTTGCAGTCCTCCCCTCTCAGATGCCAATCTAACACTGCCTCATTCCTCGGTTTCCTTAGCTCCAAAAGTTAGCAGATCTCACCTTCCAAAGCTCAGCTCTCAAGTCATCTATCTTGGATTCTCTCTAATTCCAATAAACACCTCACTTTAGACCACCTTGCCCGTCTCTACTCCTTATCTCCACCTTCAACAAAATCCAAACTGCTTTCCTTTTGGGGGCTGGCCAATTTCCTCTGCACATAGGTACCTAGATATTCACTTCTTGTACATCCTGTATACCAAACTAATTCTGGATCTGCCCATGAGCCTCATCTTCCCAATGACAAACAAATCTTTAAACAAAACAAACAAACAAACAAAAATAAACAACAAAAATAGAAACCGCTCTCCTTTCAGCCCCAACCTTCTGACTCTCAAATATATGTAGACCTTTCCACAATTACACTTCAAAGAACAAAACAAAAACAAATAAACAAGCCCAAACAACCCCAAAATTATGCCCTTGAGGTCTTAGAACACTTTCTAGGACTGGCTTTTGACTCTGTCACTTTACTCTCCAAAACTCTGGATAACACCAGTCTCTGGCTGATCTCCATGCCAACTTGTTTTTGCTGCAGCCTTTTCTGCTCATCTCTAAATCTAACAAATTCTCTCTCTCTCTCTCTCTCTCTCTCTCTCTCTCTCCTTCCCTTCCTCCCTCCCTCCCTCCCTCCCTCCATCCTTCCTTCCCTCATCATCCTAAGTTACAAAGGACTACAATCATTTTTATCAAAAACTCATCACTCACATTTCTTACCTGTCCTCACCTCAATTCCTCCACACTTATCTCTTTACCCCAACATCCCCCAGACCCTCTTCACTCCTGTCCAGAAACTCTCCAAGACCTCCTCCTCAATCCCTCTCACATACAAGAGTGTCCTCTAGCTACTTCTGTCTACACTTTTTATTCAGATGGAAGCTTTGTCCTGTCAGATGACCACCAAGTTACAGGATATACATGGATCTAAAATGATGCCATTGTGAAGGTGACCTCATTACTCCCAGATGCTACTAATCAACAGGCACAATTAATAACCCTCACTACAGTTCCAAATCATTAACAGTTTATACAGACTCCAAATATGCTTTCCATATCTTGATAACTCAGCCATCTGGGAGGAATGAGGATTTCTAAATACAAAAGACAACTCATTTACTAGCTCTTCATATGTCCATAACCTCCTCAAGGCCTCTCATTTATCCTCTCATGTTGGCTTGGTTCATTGCAAGGCACAGCAAACTGACCCCTCCCTTGTAACTAAAGACAATAATGGCACAAGATGGCAGACTTTTTAATCACCCAATTTTCCTTCAGCTATCCTACTACATAACCCAGATAACAACACATCTAACCTTCTTTTAACACAGAACATCATTCCTTACATCGTCTTTCACTCTAATACAAAATCCCTTCTATCCTTTCTCCAATGTTGCTAGCCCTTCCCTAGCCCCAGATGGTCCCGCAGAGCCTGGACATCAACTGACACAGCCTGCTATTCCTGTCCCTGACCAACATTCCAGCTTTCTTGGGTCCTTAACAATGCCCAATATCAGTAGTAGGCAGCTAGAGAGAATGATGCCCATTTAACCAACACCCAACAACCCAATAATAAAACAAAACAGTGGGAAAGAAAGGCTCTCTAACAGGTCTAAGCCTGGAAAACATGGCGCCAACAGGTTTTGTCCTTTACCCACCTCTTTCCCCTGCTAAAACCATTATATTACATTCCTAAACCTAGCCTCTAGGGTCCTTTCCCTTATTTGGTCACTGACTCATTCCTGAGACTAAACACCAAGGTTTGGCAATCAAAAATCATTATTTGGTTACACTGGCTAATATGTCTAATCAGGACTTACAAACTCACCTTAGCACAGAATTCTTTTCTCCTTAAAAACTTCTGTAAAAAAAAAATCTACTGCTACTGCTGCTTGCTCTCTGCCTCTGATCCAGAAGTAGAATCGCTCCTGCATGCCCCTCCAGGGTATTAAATATTTTCGTGCTCAGAATTTAGTTCTGGGTATGTTCTGCACTGCCTCCAAAGGGCCACAAATTATATATGGGACATTTTTATATAGCCACAATACAGATATAAAATTAAATTATTTTTAAACTGTACTATTGTCTAATGTGCATTCCATATCCAAATATTGTTAATACTGAGCTTTAGAGGAATTTCTGTCCATATCTATACATTACATTTAAATATCACATCTTTTTCATCTTAAATCTAAAATATTTCCTCAGCCTGTCACTGTAGTATAAGGTTATGACCATGCTAATGAAGATGGACCAGTCGTTATGTGGAGAATGCCTCAGCCTTTTTTTTTGAACTCATGTTTCCCAATAGCTATAGTCAAATTATGCCTTTGACAGAAATAAACTAGATGTCTTTTCAGGGAGTGACTGCATATATAATGTGTGTGTACATATGTGTGCATGAGCATGTGTGCCTGCATACACATGTGCATTCATGCATGTGCAGCTGCAAATGTATGCTCATGTTTGTGGAGAACAGAAGACAACCTCACATGTCATGCCTCAGACACTATCTGCCACTATGTTTTCGAGAGAAGATCATTCACTGGCCTGCCTGGCTCTACCTGTCTCTGCCTTCCCAGTGCTAAGATGCCAAGGGCCTGCTACCATGCTTGGAGCAGCTTCTGGAGATTGAACTCAGATCCTCATCCCAGCAGAACAAGTATTCTGCCCACCAAACCACCTTCACTGCCCTAAAATGAACACTGGTTCCCAGATTAAGTGTTCTTTCACATTAAGTTAGTATTTTTCCATTTTGAAATTAATAAAAGTTTGATAGAGAAATATTTAGAAAACAAAAGCATGTTCCTGGTAAAACCCATGATTTAATTAATCTTCGTTCTACTGTTGTGGATAGCTTTTACCTTCTTTGGTTTCTCTACTTGGTCTTAGTATAGACTGATTATTTTTATTTCACTTGATGAATTGAAGTCTATCACTGTCATTATTTGTTTTGGTGTTCAAGTGGTCCCTTACTGGAGCTGTGAGATTCCCAAAATGCCCTGTTGGAGAATGGTTCTAATCCTTTGATTCAATCAGAAATCTGAGTGCCCAAATACTAAAGGTCCTTGTCCCAATTGGTTTTCAATCAATCAATAAAGATACCAGTGACCAATGGCTGGGCAAAGAGAGATGGGGTGGGACCCTTAGAGTTGCATGGGCTAGGACGCAGGAGGGAGGAGAATGAGTCACCATGAAGTGGTGGGAGACGGAAGAATGTAGGAACTGCAGGGTATAGAGTGAGCCAAAGAGCCATGTGAGATTTTGGGGAAGCAAAATTGGGCCTGGGATAGCAGAGGATGGTTTAGGAATACCCAACTTTTGCAACCTTTGAGGTAGCCAAGGCATTTTAAAATTAACTGGTGTGTGTGTGTGTGTGTGTGTGTGTGTGTGTGTGTGTGTGTCTTCCATTTGAAAATTCTGGTAGTTCCCCTACAGGCAAGTAAGTGGGATACATCAGGAGCCAAAGCGGTGTAGATAAAACCCATCTCTACAATGTCCTATCATTAGTGACAATTTGAAACATAGTGAAGGAAGTATTATTTCTGCTGCACACCTTGGAGTACTTTGGACAGCCCGACATCTAATAAGCATCTACGACTCAGAGACAATATTCACTTCCTCATAGCTCACAGGGAGCTATCTCACAAAGATAAGCTCCCCCCACCCTATTTCTCAACTACAATTATGCTTCTCTTTGGACATCAAAAGAGATGTGAGTATAATGAGACAAATTGGCTTAAATAGCATCATGAGTGATACACAAAGCACAGACACACACCAGTGACCCAGTCCATGTGATGAACCCACCCAAGAAGCAGGGTCGACAAATAAGGAAGCAGAGAAGGGAATTCTGTAACAAAGACAAGATAAAATAATCTTAATGCACCAGGAAAAGGAAGTCTTAAATGCTTTATCTTCAAATATTTATAAAGGAAAACCAATGGTCTGACTTAATGATGACTAATTTTTCAGGGAAAAGAAATCCAACTGGGAAATCCTCTAGGACAGGGTCACAGCACACTTATCAGAGTATAAAAGGGAACATGCAGCACTGGCACTTTCAGATTCACTACACTCTCTCCAGTACTAATCAGAACCTCTACCTCTGACAACATGGTCAGCTCCTGTTGTGGCTCTATCTGCTCCGAGGAAGGCTGTGGCCAAGGCTGCTGCCAGACCACCTGCTGCCGCCCCAGCTGCTGTGTGTCCAGCTGCTGCAGGCCCAGCTGCTGTGTGTCCAGCTGCTTCAGACCCAGCTGCTGTGTGTCCAGCTGTTGCAGACCTAGCTGCTGCCGCCCCAGCTGCTGTGTGTCCAGCTGCTGCAGGCCCAGCTGCTGTGTGTCCAGCTGCTGCAGGCCCAGCTGCTGTGTGTCCAGCTGCTGCAGACCTAGCTGCTGCCAACCCACCTGCTGCCGCCCCAGCTGCTGCATCTCCAGCTGCTGCCAACCCTCTTGTGGTGGTTCTAGCGCCTGTGGCTCCAGCTGTTGCCGTCCCTGCTGCCGCCCCTGCTGCTGTCTGAGACCAGTCTGTGGTCAGGTTGGCTGCCAAACCACTTGCTACCGCCCCACCTGTGTCATCTCCACCTGCCCCCGCCCCATGTGCTGTGCCATCCCCTGCTGCTGAGATCCTTGCACTGGATCCACTTCCCTCTATATCAATTCAGATCTTCTGTGTATGTGTTTCAACTTGAAACACACAAAGTATTTTGATGCTGCATAATTCAGCTTTATGAGTCTGATGAGAAGCCAGACCATGGCTTTACTCAGCCAGCAGACAACTGGAAAAATACTTCTCTTCATACCCTATCCACAGGACTTTGCAGTTGCAGTAGCCTGATATATCTCTGCACCAAAGGAAACCTCACATTTCTCTGCAATAAAAATTCAATGTGACTGTTGCTCTTTTAAGACGGCGTCTACTCTTCTTAAAAACAAGTGTGTTTGGAGATTTGTAAGATAGTTCGGTCAGTAAAGCACTTGGAGCTCAAGCATGAGGACCTGAGTTCTATCATCAGAATCCATGTAAAAAGCCAGGTACGGAGGTACATGCTCATAAATCCCATGTTGGGAGGCAGAGCAAGAGACTGTTTCAAAAACTAAGGTGGACAGACCCTGCTGAATGACTTCAGAATTTGACCTCTGGCCTACTCAAACACACACACACACACACACACACACACACACACAGCAAGTGTATTTTACCGACAGAACACACAAGGAAATTTTCTTGCTTTTCTGGTTCCATTAGTCACTGCCTGAATTTTCCCAAGTGTCTTGCTATTTCCCAGGCAAACCACCTGCAAGCCTGCATCGCTTCTGCCTCCATCTAGAGCAAAGCTTCAGTATGCAAATAAAGTGCATGGACACGTATGTAGGAAGATGCCAAGATGAAACTTGGTAGTTTGTATGCTAACCTCATATATTGATTTAAAAATAATCTACAGGCATATTTTAATATCAGATTAAAATGTCCTCGACATAGAGTAGGACTTCACCCATGACTCACCTCTTCTTTTGATAGAAAACTTTCAAATCCAGATACATTGACAGGACAAAAACATAACCCAAAGGAGGGAACAGATCCTGTGAGAAAAACATAGAAGCAAAATGTGCTCTATTGTAAATTGTGGGCAACTGCAGGCCGCATGTCCACATCATAAAGTCCCACAGGGCTCGTGGCGATTGTTTCCGTGTCCTTTCAGCATGTGGACCTGCTGAATGAGTCTGTTGCCACTGAGTTTCTCAGATCCAATCTCTTCCCACATTCATTCAAAGATCAGTTATTGGATGCTTTCAGCACAGACCCCGTTGTGATTGAAGAGGTGACAGCAGGAGCTGACGTGCACAAGACTCTGCACCCAAGTCTACATCATAGTGGAGTTTCTCAGCAAAGTATCTGACGTGCTGCTCCTCCCTTTACAGGGTTTGTTCAGGGACGGAACAGATGGCTCAGTGGCTAAGAGCGTTGGCTGCTCTTCCATAGGACCTGGGTTTGATTCCCAGCACCCATGTGGTGACTCACAACTGATTATAACTCCAGTTGCAAGGAATCCAACCCCTTCTTCTGGCCTATGTGAGCACTAGGTACATACATGGTACACAGACATAAGTGTAAGCAAAACACCCATATACAGAAAAGTAAGATGAAATGATAATAAAACAAATAAAAATAAAAACTTTGTCTTCTTCTGCCTGTCTTGTCTTTTCGTTTGTAATTTTATTTAGAGGGATGGAATCAAACTGTAGAGTTCCACTTTAGATTTTAAAACAATGGGAAATATTCCCCAAAAGGATATTTTTACTAATGACATTTTAATAATGACTATCTTTTCATTCTAGAAAGTACCTGAAATCTTGAATTTAAAGAGGAAGCCAGAAGTGCATGCCCATAGACAAGGCACAAAATAGAGCTAAATCTTCAGCTATTTGCTTTGGTAAAAACTTAAATGAGCTGAGTTTAACCCAGAAGGCATTGCAGTAGACAAATTGTGATCTATCATTACATTGATGGTGGTAGAAACACATAAGCATAGAGCAAATCCTCCAATTGGAAACTGGGACAATGGTTCTTAACCTGTGGGTCACAACCCTTTTGGGAGTCGAATGACTCTTTCACAGGGGTCACCTAATACCATTGGAAGTCATAAACATTTATACTCAGATTCATAACAGTAGCAAGATTACAGTTATAAAGTAGCAACAAAAATAATTTAATGGTTGGGGAGGTCATGACAATATGAGGAACTGTATTAAAGGGTTACAGCATCAGGAAGGCTAAGAACCATTGCCCTAGGAGATACAAAAATTGGAATAAAAGTCAATATACTGGCAAACACAACTTACAGAAGAAGCTTTAAGGACAAGGGCAAGCTTTTACCCTTTATGATGGGAAGACAGACACTGAGGGTGTGAAGTGGCTGGTCACACTTCATCTATAGTTGGGAAGCTAAGACTAAAGATAGAGCACACAGGAAAATTGACTGAATTTGAAATAATTAAATACTCTGTAAGGCAGAGCTTGTACTTGGTGATCTCCAAACCAGAACAAAGTAAAACATGCACCCCACATGAAAACTTGATTTCAAATACAACGTATCACTGTTATAATGGAAACCTGGAATAACCTAAATATTTCTCAGTAAAAGACTAGCCAAATGAAATATACTATGTTCACAAAATTGTGTATTGCATAGCTGAAATGTAACAAGAAATATCTGAAGCCACTACTGTAGAATAGATAGTAATATCCCATTGCTGTGGTGCGGTAAGTGAACCCAAGCAAACGGTAACTAAGTGTGCATAGTATAAGAAGAATTATCAAAGCTGACAGTAAATATAAACTTGCGTTAAAACAATAACGTAAAAACAGCTTCAAATTTATAAAAAAAGAAAACCTTTTAAGTCAGTTGATATGCTAATTAGTCTGAGTTAATCATTACCTAACATACACAGGATCACTGCACCTCATAAATATGTACAAATAGCATCTGCCAATCAAAAACAAGTTTTATCCATAGGGGAGAAAGAATGTGCGTGCAGAGAAGAAAGACAGAAGCAAGACTTCCTTGGATAGGTCTCATTTTGTAAAAATTATTTTGGAACCTAAAAATAACTTACAGTTATAGAACAATTAAATTTTAAAGTAATTTTTAGGACTATGAGAAGCAAACATGAGATGTGTAGCCAATTCATCGTCAAATACTTGGCAAATGCAATTTAAGGAAGAAGCTTTAAGGACGAGGGCAAGCTTTTACCTTTTATTATGGGAAAGACAGACACTGAGGGTGTGAAGTGGCTGGTCACACTACATCTGTAGTCAGGAAGCCAAGAGAGTCAGGAAGCCAGTGATCACTTGATCACTGGCTCTTGGATCCCTTCTCCCCTTTACTCTGCATGGGACCACCACCTATGGGACATATCACCAACATTCAGGATGAGTCTTGCTTGCTTTGTTAGAGTTTTCTGGAAACACTCTCTTTGTTTATACACTCAGATGTGAGTTTCCATGGAGATTCTAAAACCTATCAAGTTGACAATGAAGATTGTACATCACAGCAAGCATGATGATGATGTGGTAATACATAGCTGAAAATACTCGCTTCAAGAGTTGCCATTTGGGATGAGACAGTTGAACACATTCATATTATAGTCATATGGATTCAAGTAGGGCTCTTCCCAATATAAAGACAAGCAAAAGGAGAAGCTTAAATTCCCATAAACTAATACAATAATGCCAAAGAAAACACTGGAGAGGAAGGAGGGTGGGGCTGCTGATTGACCTGAAGTAAAATAACTTTCTGGAAAGAATCTGAAGAAGGTCCATTCTAAGAAGATGGAACAGGACAATTCAAAGTATGAAAGTTAATACTATTTCTGTTCAATAGACTACTGAATCCTATAAAAACTTTAACTGATTTCTGCATGAGCTGTAGTGACCTGATGCCTTGTGGGTTCTTTGGAAAGTAAATTCACTACAATGACCATAACGCACAAACAGATCTGGAGCACGGCCAGCGTTCACTAACAATGATCTCTGTGATCTCGCTTTTCATTGAAAAGTACATGAGATATAAATATGTGACTCTTGATCTGGATCCTACTCTTAAGAACTTTCCATTTGTGTCAGAATCCCCTTTGTAACATAGCATACTTTAGTGTTTATAAGACAGCAAGCAAAGCCTACTGTGCTCTCATTATTCAGGTAGGATATCTCAAACCCATAATTATCGAAAGAGTGGCAGGGAAGGATGCTTTGCATGGAGCATTTTTCATAGAAAGCAGAATCCACTGCACATGCTGGCTTATCAGGAGACAGATCAAATCCATTCACACTTTGTATGCCACACACAGAGAGGATCCCTAAGGGGATACGTTGACTCCTTAAATGAGTCTTTGGCATTAAAAAAATGCTCATAAAATGCTAACCATCTGGATACAATCATTACAAGCTATAAATACACTTGTTCCTGATTTTATACAAATAATTGCACAGATGAATCTTTCATCCTGTCTCTACCGGTGCTCTACCAGGCAATAGTTTTTGCATATCTGCAGAAAAAATAAAAATAATTTTGTGAGCCATTCTCAAACTATTATCAAGCAAGCATGAGTGACACGTGTATCGTGTGCTAGTCCCAGTTTAGAAGGTACACAGGCAGAAATAGAAGCACGAATGTCATTTGACACGCCTTAATTCAATGAATCATAACAATGTAGAAAAAGAAAATGATGCCCTTTCTAAACGCTGGAATATTTAACCTTGTAAACATGATTATGACTTAATAACACTAATTAATTTCCTGGTTAGAGAAACAAGGAAAGGAGCTTTGCTCATGGTGACACCACTTGCTAAGCAGAGTATAAAAGGGAATACCAGCCAGGAGAACTTCAGAATTTCAAAACACTCTCTCAGAAACCCACCAGAACCTCTACCTCTGACACCATGGTCAACTCCTGTTGTGGCTCTGTCTGCTCTGAGGAGGGCTGTGGCCAAGGCTGCTGCCAGCCCAGCTGCTGCCAGACTACCTGCTGTAGGACCACCTGCTGCCGCCCCACCTGCTGTGTGTCCAGCTGCTGCAGACCCCAGTGCTGCCAGTCTGTGTGCTGCCAGCCCACCTGCTGCCG